CTAAATAAATACTTAGAACAATATAGAGAACCATTACCAGACTCCAAACAAATGTTGCAAACTGTTAGTAGATATAAGTACTATATAACAATGGATATTAAATCAGCATACTGGCAACTAGTAATGCATGAAAACTCGAAGAAATATATAGCGACAACCTTCACAGAATATGGAACATACTGTTGGCATACATTACCATTTGGAATAAGCACAGCACCAGCATACTTGATAAGAGCAATGAACAAAATATTAGGACATTTAGACTATGTAGTAATCTACATGGATGACTTTGTAATTTTATTGAACGATAAATCTGAGGCTCAAATAAAATTAACAGAGACGTTAAGATGCTTAAAAAAAGCGGTCCTGAAAATTAAACCATCAAAATGCGAATTTCTCGTTCAAGAAACAATTATATTAAATTGTAAAGTATCATATGGAAAAATTGGGAAAATGTTTTGAAAATTAAAGAAGTAGATAAATTTACTACTCCAAAAAACAAAACAGAATTACAAAGATTCTTAGGATTTATGAATTATTTTAGATCCTTTATTTTAGACTTTGCAAGAGTGGCAACACCATTATATGGGTTAGTAGGAACAGCTGAATTTAACTGGACTGACGATTGTCAAAAAGCAATGGAAGAACTCAAACAATGAGTTAAAAATGAATTACTACTATCATTCTCAAATCCAAATAAACCATTTTTCATGAAAACAGATGCTTCAGATCATGCAATAGGTGCAATACTATATCAACAAGGAGATGAATCACGAGATCATTGGAAAGTTAAAGAATCTCTAAAAAAGAAAGATTTATTGTGAAGTGAACTTAATGATTTCTCCAAACCACCAAGGTATAACAAGACCATTATAGAAATAGGGTCACATGGCCTATCTGCAACACAGAAAAATTGGCCAACAACATTAAAAGAAATGTATGCAATATATTACTTTGTAAAACAATGGGAACATTACATAGGAACACAAGAGTTACATGTGTACTCAGATGCAACAGGAGTTACAGCAAATAAAACTAGTCAATATGTTAATAAAACATTAGACAACTATGATGCAGAACTCAGACAAACAGTCAACCTTCATATACATAGAATAGAAGGAGTGCAAAACTTTGCAGCAGATTTCCTAACTAGAGGAATAACAGATGAGTTACAACAATTGGAAGAGTTGAAACAACTCAAAAAGAAGAAATAATTCTTTATTAAAATATATTTAGTCAGAATAGACATTATAATCATTATTATCAATACTCTCATCAGGATTACAAGAATAGTAATTAACATAAATACATCCTTGGTCAGAATAGATTTCTGGACCAGAATCATATCCTTGATCAGAATTTTCAGAGAAATCCTGGAAAAGATCAAGAGCATCAAAGCAATCAATCCCAGATAAAACTGGTTGAGAAATTCTAGAAGAATGAACCTTAATGGTAGAAGGATCTGTAGTGAAAAGTAAGAATTAGAATAAAATATTCGATTGCCATACACCGCGGGCCAGAGGTAGTTAAACCTAACTACTCCAGTCTAGCAGTGCATAAAAACCCAATAGCAAGAAAATACCTTACCATCTTTAAGAGACAAATCAACAAAAATTGTTGAAAGATCCTCACATGGAAGTTGAAGGGAAGTATAGCAATAAGTATACTTATTATTATAGAAATTAGAACCAAAGAAATCATAATGCCAAAAGTGTTGATTAGAGGTCACAAAGTAATAATGATAAATTGAAGTAAATTTATCAGAATCAGGACAATTCTCAAAAAGAAAGAAGATAAAATCTTCAAGAGAAGTTATATTCTTTTCAAGAAAAAGAAAATAATCCTTGGAATAATCAATAATGGAATTATCCAAAATATTAAATACTCCATCATAACCTTCAGAAAAAAGCTTTGAAGGATAAGGCTTAATATAATTAGCTGAAAAAGTAGATTGCTTACAAAAGCAATTGTAAAAAGAATTAAAGTTTGGAAAGATAGAACTTTTCCAAAGAAGACGAATAAAACCATCAAGGAAAACAACTTTAAGTTCAAGAAGAACGCATGATGAGTAAGCAACGAAATCCATAATAGAAAACTTCCAAAAGTAGACAAATTAGAAAATACAATGAAATGAGAATAATACAAAAATTAATAAACTGGAACAATAGGATAATTGATGGAAAAAGTATAAAAAGGGTTATAAGGAAACCAATTGTATAGATAAAACTCATGAAGAATTTGAGGAAAAATAAGGCGGAAAAGTTATTCCTTAAGTAGAAAAATAATGCGAAACTTGATAATAGCATATATAACACTTGTAATACTAGATAGAAAATACTGGATGATACAAGAAGAAAGTTGTAAACCACCTCAAGATAGATATTTCATATACGACGATATTTGAAATACAAATTCATTTGTAGAATTTGAAATTATCTAAACAGATGGAAGATGATGTTGAGAAAATTATTAATGAACTTCCTATCAAAGCAAAGATTCCATCAGAAAAACAAATAAAAAATATCTTAGAAGATGAGATGGAATGTATCAAATTCCTACAACAAGAAGGAATTCTCTATAAAAGTCAAAAATGTTAGCAATGTGGAAATGAAATGAAACAAAAAGATAAGAAATGGAATTGTACGCGACATGATTGTAGAATATCACAATCTGTACTCACATTCTCATTCTTTGAAAACCACAAGATTCTAATCAATGAAGTATTTAGAATATACTATTTATGGCTTATCAAAGTGTCAGCAACACCCATTCACATAATGACTAGACATTCGACACAAACAATAGCAACTAATATAAACAATATTAGACAACTAGTCGAGTCACAAATAAATGACACACATGATAAGATAGGAGGAAAAGATATCATTGTAGAAATAGATGAATCATTATTTGGA